ACGCTGTCATAGGCACACTGAAATGCAAATCTGTGCAGGTCCTGGTGTCCATACTCGGACGCAGACAGGATGGATCCTGTCAGCGTCCGAGCACGTACACCTGGACCTGCACAGATGTACAGTTAGAGTGTGCGCATGAAAGTGTATGGTAGCGTCCTCCCATAGGGAAAAACAGGCAGCACTTGTCCCACCCGGGAACAACCTGATAGGGACGTGCACACCACACGGACGTGCACACCACACGGATGTGTACGGCCTGAGATAACATGTGAATGAAGCCTAAGACCCACTATTTATAGTTATTTCTCTGTCTCTGTAATCTAGTTACTTTACAGCTCTGTGTATCTCACTGGATCAAAAATGTGAATTTCAAGTGGTTTAGCCATATTAACCCTTGCCATGATCTAATTTACTTTCACTCCAATTGATCCCATATTCTGGTAAATGTTTATTGCAGGAAGAATTTTATTAATATTTTAAAGGTTTGGACAGTTGTTGCTAGATGCCTTATGTACACCTCATGCATATTGTATAATGAAAACACAGCTACCATTGTACTTGTTTAGAATAATAATTTAATAATGTCATCCTTCATACAAATATTGTACAAACAACTTTTCAACAAAAATAAATATTTACACCATCAGATAAAAAACAGGAAAATAGTTGATGATGCTTGATATACACAGCCAGCTGTGTCTTGTGCAAACTATATGTACAAGTTAAAAAAGATCAACTCTTAACTGCTTGGAAATACCTTGCTCATTCTCTAAATCCATTTTTACTAACAAACATACATCATCTCTTTCTAACATACATTTGGTGAACTTTATAAAACAATAACTACTATCTTAGTGCTGTAGAAACATGTGGTTTCTCACATCCGTCAACTATCCATCAGCAAATACTTTCACTCTCCTGAACATACTGTATACATACTATGACAGTCTTTATAGTGCAACATGTACCTTATCACTTCAGTGTACAACACAAGCTTCCTTCATTTTCTTTAGTGGCATTTCACCATAGTGCAGTAGTTAAAAATAACTTAATTAGCAAATATTTAAATAACACATTTACAACACAAATATGTATAAATTATAGTCACTGAGATGGAGTAAAAACAATGGTAATGTAATAAATATGTGAAAATATAAAATGTGCAGTATTACTTTTTTAAGATGTTATATTGTTTTAAAGTGCAAATCTTATCAGAGGACACAGATAACCTCTCTTCTTCTGAAAACACTGTAGGGCAGAGCACAGCTTATTAAACATTGGTAGTTCAGTTTTTTGTCACAGGCATCCCAGAGCCTGGAAACCACAGTCCACTGTCTGCTCCTTCCGTCAGGGAGCACCAGCATTAGATGCCTTGGAGATGAAGATCCAATCTGGAAATTCAGTCTGTGCAATGACATCAGTCATGTGGCTCCTTCGATGTCTGCCGTGCTAGAGTATGGAACAGCTTGTCCCAGTGAGTGAAGTAAGGTGCATAGTTCCATACAAACTTTTGGTGATGGAGGTCATGATGCCCTGGCCCCCCGCATAAGCCAAATGGCACAAGTCGGTGTGTGGACCAGGCAAAGTCATAGCCACAATGATCCTCTACAGACAAGTAGATATGGATGATGAAGACAGCCATCTCAGTCAAAGGATGACACCCCAGCATCACTGGGCTGATATTAGCAAAGAACCCCAATGACAGCATCTCCCATGCACTGGAGTACTGTGTTGCCAGGGCAAAGGTGGCAGTGTACTTGTGATGCGTCTTGTGGAAGGTCTTGTACAGCCAGGGGATCTTGTGATGAAGCAAGTGCCAGGCAAAATACTGGAAGTCAAAGAGGAGCAAGCAGGCAACGATGTCTAATACAACACGATGCAGCTGGGGTGCCAGGGATGGCAGGTGCACCGGTCTCCAGTACCAATAGGCAACACTCAGCGGGAATACAAAGACCAGATGACTGTAGACAGTGTGTGCCAAGCAGTGCAGCACCATGGCCAATGAGGGTCTGGATTTAGGCTGCACTTGGTAGTTCTTCAAGGCTGGTATTCTTAGACAGAGAATGTCCAGTGCCAGGTAAGGGAGACAGAAAGCCATGTAGACAGTGAATGCGAAAAGCACAGGATAGAAGGGGGATCTGATGATGTGCTCTTTAGATAGCACATAGTCCCAGACAGGTTGCAGAAAGAGTCCTGACTGTGCTGTTTCCCACATGTAGAGGGATGGAGTCATCAGTACACTGCTATTGTTCATTATGAATGAGCTGAGCACACACAGCCAGCAGCCCTGCTTATATAGACCTCCTTCTTCCTGTGATCTTCCAACCAGCTGCTTAGAAACCTCTCCGGAAATTACCCACCCAGTTTCCCTTTATGAAATGGAATGTGAGGTCATAAATACAATGTGCTCGGAATTAGTTCCAAGCTAATATCTGCAGGTAGAGTGTACAGGATCTCTAGGAGCTATTTCTGCCAAGTTTCGGTCTGTAAATTTTATTTTCCACAAAGCACCGCCGTAAGCTGCCTCTGAAAAATAATACAAGTCTGAGGCTTCGAAATTCTTTAAAGTACACCTGCCATCAGAGTAGTATGCAGAAATCATTACTGGCCTCCACTCATAACATTTCTAGTTCTCTACCTGTCATACTGATGCTTTGCCCTCAGCACTTTCTGAGCTGGAACAAGTATAGAGACTTCTGGAAGTTTTCTGACATTCTATTGCAGCATGTGTGTTCTGGGTCTGTGATTTGAAAGCATGGAAAGCAGACACAGCCAAGCATGTAGCATTTTCTGAATTAGGCCAGCAATAGCAGCCACTGAACAGGTGTAATTGAATTAGCTTTCTTCAGATTAGAATTGGGAAACCTGGAACTCTCCAGCTACAGTGAAACTACAGATAAAGGGTAAAGCCAGCATTTCCTGCAGCAGCACACTTAAGGCAGAACTAAAGTGTTTTATTTCAAAAGTGGCTAGCAGGCAATTTACAAGGGGGTATCAAAACGTAATGCCTGCTGTTCATGTCATATATGCAGCGGTGTATTTAACATTGGTGCTGCCCTAGGCAATGCAGCAACGCCGTACAACAGATTTAGTTACTGAGCGGCAAATCGTCCTGTCTCCTGACACTGTTGACTGGCTGATTTTCATAAATCAAAGAGAAAAGACCAGAGAAAGACATCCATGCCATACAGCTGCATGATGATAATGCATGCCCACACACCTTTTATGCTACCAGTGTGATGACTGACCAAATGGGTCGGTAAGTGGTCTGCCATCCACCCTGCAGCCCAGATTTGGCACCATCTGACCTCTACCTGTTTGGGCCAATGAATGATTCAATCCCAGCAAAAGATTTGAGGACCTGCAGAAAGTTGATTGCAAAAAAATCATCAAATGTGATGGAGCTGTGAAAGGGTATCTCTGAGTAAAGGAGTTTATAGGCTAACTTTATCTGTGTTCATTGTTTCCATTTCTGCATATTTAAACATTCTTTATACACACCCTGGATCAGCTGTGCATGGCAACCAATCAGCTTCTCTCTTTAATTTTCAAATCTTAACTGAACAAACTGAATAGAGAAGCAGATTGGTTGCCATGGGCAACTGCTCCAGATTCTGTCTGCTCAAGTTTTGATAAATTTCCCCATCTCTATATAGAGATCATTGTGTGCTATACTCCCCACTGTGTATATAGAGATCAGTATGTGCTATACTCCTCACTGTGTATATAGAGATCAGTGTGTATATAGAGATCATTGTGTGCTATGCTCCCCACTTTGTATATAGAGGTCAGTATGTATATAGAGATCAGTGTGTGCTATACTCTCTGTGTATATAGAGATCAATATTTATATAGAGATCGTTGTGTGCTATGCTCCCCATTTTGTATATAGAGATCAGTGTGTATATGGAGATCAGTGTGTGCTATACTCCCCACTGTGTATATAGAGATCATTGTGTGTGTATAGAGATCATTGTGTGCTATACTCCCCACTGTGTATATAGAGATCTGTGTGTATATAGAGATCAGTGTGTGTATATGGAGATCAGTGTGTATATAGAGATCGGTGTGTGCTATACCCCCCACTGTGTATATAGAGATCAGTGAGTATATAGAGGTCATTGTGTGCTATACCCCCCCACTGTGTATGCAGAGATCAGTGAGTATATAGAGATCAGTGTGTGTATAGAGATCATTGTGTGCTATGCTCCCCACTGTGTATGTAGAGATCAATGTGTATATAGAGATCATTGTGTGCTATGCTGCCCACTGTGTATATAGAGATCAGTGTGTGTATATAGAGATCATTGTGTGCTATACTCCCCACTGTGTATATAGAGATCAGTATGTATATAGAGATCAGTGAGTATATAGAGATCAGTGTGTGCTATACTCCCGAATGTGTATATAGAGATCAGCGTGTATAATAGAGATCACGGTGTGCTATACTCCCCACTGTGTATATAGAGATCAGTGTGTATATAGAGATCATTGTGTGCTATGCTCCCCACTGTGTATATAGAGATCAATGTGTGTATATAGAGATCAGTGTGTGCTATGCTCCCCACTGTGTATATAGAGATCAGTATGTATATAGAGATCATTGTGTGTATATAGAGATCAGTGTGTGCTATGCTCCCCACTGTGTATATAGAAATCAGTGAGTATATAGAGATCATTGTGTGCTATGCTCCCCACTGTGTATATAGAGATCGGTGTGTACATAGAGATCATTGTGTGCTATACTCCCCACTGTGTATATAGAAATCAGTATGTATATAGAGATCAGTGTGTATATAGAGATCACTGTGTAAATGCAGAGGCAGGTATACATCGGGTCATCGCCCGGCCAACGAGTGACTCCCGCTTCTCCACTGAGACTATGAGCACCGCTGGAGCCACAGGGAGGAGCAGAAGCTGAAAGGGGAGGTACTAGGCGGAGCAGAACCGAAGATAGGCAGGTCTGAGTAGCCGTGCTGCGGAATGTCGAGACAGAATGGATGCCAGGGCAACCAGCGGCGCTGTCACCTCAGACAGTTTACAGCAGGAAGCGGGATGCCAGCAAGCCATCTGGGTCCTTTATCAACAGCAGCTCTGTAGTCTCCAGAGACAGAGGAAGAGATGAGTCTCCTGGTATCCAGACTCATCAAGAACAGGAAGGTCATCCAATCTCTGTTCTGTGCTCTCAGCCGTCAGCTCATCCTGATCTGACCACAGGTGGTGAGTCTATTCTATTAAAGCTGTTAAGTGATTTATTCCCTTTATTTGTTCCCTTATCTAATCTTATTAAACAATGTTAAAGTTAATTCTAGTTTACCTGCCTTTAATGCCAATTCGGCAGCTGTCGTTTGATCATCACCTATGCTGAGGTTTCTCCATGTTCTACTGATTCCAATTAAAATCGCGCAACTTTTTCCTATTGGGCTGTATGCAATCAGGAGCAAAATTGCTCGAAAAAAAGGTAATGTAGGAGCTACAAGCGATATTGAGCGACGAGATGTGAACAGCTCCATTGAAATGGATTGGAGAAGCTACATAGAGCGATATCGCATGGAAATATGAGCGATATCGCTGCAAAAATCGCTCGATAAATCGCTCAGTGTGAATGGGGCCTAAGGAGTGGTGGATCAGCTACAGCATCATCTGCTTTACATACTCAGAATGTTCCTGAAATTTGTGTTACAGAGTCCATGCCTTGCGAGCTGCCACCTTTTAGGTTTTCCCCTTACAGCTACTGTCAAGGAAAAAAAATTTACAGGGAAGTTTTATTGATTTATTATCCCTTCCTCCTTCCTCAAAATAATTTATTTCTAACAATGATAAGAAGGATGATGGAGCTGAAGTGGAAAGACGGCGGCCTGTTGCCAGAACTTTAACAATTGGTTACAGGCGTTTTGCATTTATTCTGGTGTAATTTGTGAGAAATTCCCAGAACAAAGCGTTGGTTTGTTTCAGCACATTGACATAATTTTAGAAGCTTATAAGCATTTTGGCGGTATTTCATGGATCTCTTATGATGAATCATTTAGGCAGAAGCTCATCCTAATTTAAAATGAGGTACTAAGGATGTTGGGCTTTGGCTCAATCTGTTTTCTACCCCAAAGACCATCAATTGTTAAGCAGTCGACCACTACCACACAGTCAGGCTATAGAAAAGGCATTTGTGATGCCTTTAATGACAGGCATTGTAAGTGGCCGGGCTCATGCAGATACAGGCATGAATGCTCATTTTGTGCTAGCGCCCACCCTTATCATAGTGTTTTAAAAAGCTGTCCCAATCAACTTCCCAACAGGCTAGGGAATTTATTCCAAACGACGTGCACCCCGGTGAATCTGCAAACAATGTTTCCTTGGTTACTTCAGTTCACAAACAAGCAGACAACGTTTCTCCTCTTTAAAGGTTTTGATGAAGGTTTTGTGCTGCCAGCTTTTGAGGGCTTTGGTTGTACTAGAATTCATAATTTACCATCAGTAGAAAATCTTCATGATATAGTCAAATGTCATGGTTTAAAGATTAAAGATGGTTTGGTAGCAAGCCCTTTCAGTTCCCCTCTTTTTCAGAATTTTGGCCTCTCTCCATGAGGTATTGTTCCTTAACCACTTGCTGACCACGTGTTTACACCCCGTTCCTGGCCAGGCCATTTTTCAGTATTCAGCGCTGCTGTACTTTGACATGTATTCTGTCATGCAGCGCTGTACAGAAATTAATTTTATACCATTGTTTGGGGACACATAGAGCTTTCTTTTGGTGGTATTTAATCACCACTGCGGTTTTTATTTTTTTACTATATTAAGAAAAAATTACTAAAAGTTTTGAGAAAAAAAAGTTTTTTTTTCTCATTATGTTATAAAACATTTATAATTACCCAATTTTTTGGTAAAATATAAAAGTCGGGGTCACGTCAGGTAAATAGACACCAAACATGTCAGGCTTTCAAATTGCGCGCACCCACGAAATCGCAATAAACTACCAAACCCAAAATTTACCATAGGCGACGCTTTAAAAGTTTTTACCGCTTATCGGTTTAGTGTTATCAGTGATTGATGGCCCTAGAATTATTGCTCTCACTGCGACATTCGCGGCGATATGTAACATGTGTGGTGTAATGGGCGCAATCGTCGTTTTCACACGTATGCGCACCCAATGCATGTTTGCATACGTGTATGTATGGTTGGGGACTTTTGAAAAAAAATTGTGTTTTTTTTCCAAAAGAGATCTGCTTCATCAGCTTCTCTCCAAGTCTGAAGCTGGAGAGTGACACAAGAATGTGGAAGTGATGTAATATACACCACTTCCGCATTCTGACAGCGCAGAGGGGACCGGAGGGAGATCATGTACCGATCTCCCTCTGATCCCCTTTAAGAGAGCCACCATGCTGGTCCCGGGCTCGCACCGGGCACAGCGGAGCCCGGGACCAGCGTGACAGCGGGAGGCGCGGAGGGGGGACACACGGATCGACACCCCACACAAGCGATCCGCCTGCTCTATAGTCAGCGGATCACTTGTATGTTAACAGGCATCATTGCCTGTTCTTACATTTTTGGACGTTCCTGCTCGCGTGCGAGTGGGCATGGCTGAGTGGACGTCTAAAGACACCTGCTCAGATCCAGAGAGCTCCCGGCCGGCTGATAACACAAAAATCACATATTGTCTAAATATTTAAAACAACATTTTCTTTTATTATATTCAAATTCATGATCGACATATAGATAAAAATTACATATATCCAGTGATCTCACAAATCGACATAGAACCTCCCTGGAATCCCTACAGATACATACCATGCATTTGATCAATACAATAAACTATTTTAACATTATTATCCTTATAATAATATTTTTTTGTAATGTCATAAATGGTCATGTTTGTCATAAGATGATCTGTAGTTCTGTACTGTGTCCAGCCTTCTATGCGTTTCGCCAAAGCTTCACCAGGAAGTTTGGAGGTAGCCATTTTTGAGATTTCTGTAGTGGTGGATAAATCCGCATTGCCGTGGAGTGTTAACAGTGATCGATGGCCCTAGACGTTCGTGGCGATATGTAATATGTGTGGCGCAATTTTCATTTTTGCACGTAGGCGCATCCGACGCAGGTTTGCGTTGTATGTGTGTGCACTTTTTTTTATATGATACTTTAATTTTTACAGCAGCCGTGTTCTTGGAATAACCACGTCAAGCGAGTTTTGTGGGGCAGGAGGGGGCCACTGAAGTTAATGGCACCGCAGCCACGCCCTCCGGCCACAATGCGATCGCCCGCACGGGATCGCAAGGCACTTTGTTAATCACGCCCCCTCCTGCCTCACAAAAAAGTGAGCTGGCCACAATGCGATGCACTGCATTCTGGCCAGAATCGGGCCGGAACGCGCTGCATCTGGTGTGAACCTAGCATAATGGCCGATGTCTGGAGATTTGTGCTTCCCAATATAATTACCATATTCCTTGTTCTTGTATTTTACTGTAATTATGCCAGCAGCAGAATTGTTTTCAAACACTTGGCATAAACATGGTGTGTATTCGTAATGTTTAATAAACTATTTTGAAAGAAAGAAAAAAAAGAAGAAGGCAGGTGCAGTGAGTGCTGGAAAAAGTGTATGTAGACAGGAAGTGGCTAAAAGAAGCTACAGGACCTCAGAGGCACCAAGCTGCAAAACAAAAAAAAAGCATTAAAAAGGTGTTTGGTTGCTTATGATACACAGTGCTTTATAAAATTAATTCTCAGTTAGATATTTAAAATAATAAAAAAAAATGAGAGAGAGAGAGAGCGAGAGAGAGAGAGAGCAAGAGAGAGAGAGAGCGAGAGAGAGAGAGCAAGAGCGAGAGAGAAAGAGAGCAAGAGTGAGAGAGAGAGAAAGAGAGCAAGAGCGAGCAAGAGAGAGAGAGAAAGAGAGAGAGAGAGAGAGAGAGAAAGAGAGCAAGAGCGAGCAAGAGAGAGAGAGAAAGAGAGCAAGAGCGAGAGAGAGAGAGAGAAAGAGAGCAAGAGCGAGAGAGAGAGAGAGAGAGAGAAAGAGAGCAAGAGCGAGAGAGAGAGAGAGAGAGAGAGAAAGAGAGCGAGAGCGAGAGAGAGAGAGAGAGAGAAAGAGAGCAAGAGAGAGAGAGAGAGCAAGAGAGAGAGAAAGAGAGCGAGAGAGAGAGCGAGAGAGAAAGAGAGCAAGAGAGAAAGAGAGCAAGAGAGAGAGAGAGAGAGAGAGAGAAAGAGAGCAAGAGAGAGAGAGAGAGAGAGAAAGAGAGCGAGAGAGAGAGAGAGAGAAAAAGAGAAGAGAGAGAGAGAGAAAGAGAGCAAGAGAGAGAGAGAGAGAAAGAGAGAAAGAGAGAGAGAGAGAGCAAGAGAGAGAGAGAGAGAAAGAGAGCAAGAGAGAGAGAGAGCGAGAGAGAAAGAGAGCAAGAGAGAGAGCAAGAGAGAGAGAGCGAGAAAGAGAGCCAGAAAGAGAGCGAGAGAGAGAAAGCGAGAGAGAGAGCGAGAGAGAGAGCGAGAGAGAGAGCGAGAGAGAGAGAGCGAGAGAGAGCGAGAGAGAGGGCGAGAGAGAGAGCGAGAGAGAGCGAGAGAGAGAGCGAGAGAGATAGGGTTTATCATTTGCAAAACCCCTCGACCTGCTACGCTGAGTTTGCAATAAGGAGCATAAATGCTGCCTGATGTACATGTTTTAGAACCAACAATATATAGAACTAGTTGGATGAATATAAAATATCTGATAGGCTCTTGTAGTTTAAAGTGCTTTCCACTCACCTCATAGTTCTAGCCGACCTGTGACAATGAGACTGTCACAGGTCGGCTCAGTAGATCGGGAGGTGAGCTAACACATACCGGTGTTCGCTCACCTCTCGATCCTGTCACAGCTCTCTGCCGTGACAGGGGAGGAGCTGGATTCCCCCCTCCGATCCGCCAGCGCTGATTGGCGGACCGGACGGGGAAGGGGGCGGGTACAGCTGGCTCTACCTTTAGATAGGCAGAGCCAGCTGTCACTCACGCAGCTGGGCGGATCTCGACATCGATGTCGGGATCCGCTCCGGCGTCTCAGTATACTGCGAGCTGTAGCTCGCGGTATACTGAGCTTAGGGTAACGGGAGGATGCTAGTTTGTGTCCTCCCGTTACCCTAAGGAGAACTATGGGGAAAAGCCCTGACCCCATAGTTCTCCTTTAAAGAAGAACTCTCGGTTTTTATCAAACTAAGCCTTGCAGTGGGGCTAACCCTTCACTGCAAGGGTTAACTGCTCGTTTTGGT